AAATAATGTTGCTGCTGATATCACTGAGATACGTCTTGATGGTTGAAAGTCACAAAAAAAAAAAATCTATTTTTTTTTCAATCCTGAATGGATACTTTACTTGCRGGGGGAGGGGGAGAAGGGGCAGGGCGGGAAGGCAGTGCAGGGGACTAGGGGGAATTGTCATTCTCAAATCTTCTTTTTCCTCCATCTTCCAAAATAAAGACTCTATTGAGAAGAGGTCTCACAAGACCCCTGGTGCCTCATTTCCTGACACAAGTTAAAAGTAAAGGTCAGGAGGAATTGCGTGTTTCTTTGACAGCCTTTTAATATAACATTTCCTTCTTAATCATAAAAGAAAACGTATATGTAAGGCTTGAAGCTTTTTTTTTTTATTTTGTATTAAGTAGCTATGCTAAACTCGCACTGTATTTAGGTTATTCTTTGCTGCTCTTTCTCAAATTTTTTGGATGAGTGGCCAGTGTCTCACCAGGCCTTCTCCTYATGCATCTTTACCTGCGACCACTTGGTAATCAGTGTGATCCTACAAGATGACCTCTTGTACAAGGTGACCTCTTGTGTGGAGGGCACTTGTCATTTGTAAGTCACTCCTTGGGAACTGCTGTTCTACTCCCTGCCCTACTAACACTTTCATGTTATCCATTAGACTATGGAGAGGAACTGTTGTAATGCTTTGTACAGCATTCTATTATATAGCATTCTATTAGGTAGAATGAAATGAGGCAACCCATACAATTCTTCAACCTAGGACATTAGCACCCTTGGAGAAACCTGATAAGATACAACAAATAACCCTGCTATGGGTGTGGTAGATGCTATCCCTTTTCAGTAAAAGACTTTGGTAATAATAGGAAAGTGAATATATGTTAAATAAAGTTTTCTAGGTAGATGATGGTGCTCAGAGGGAAAGGAGAATAGTAGCTTCAAGTTAAATGTTTCTGCCATTAATAAGAGTAGAGGTAGAAGACACTAGAGTTATTCTTTTTGCCCCTTGGAAGATATTCTTACAGCTACCTCTGGGATGTCTTCTTGACAATAGCTGATCCTGGAAGGGAATGGGAAGAGCAAACACATGATTTTTTTTTTCCTTCTGTATATATCCAAGTTAAAACCAAGCTTGTCTATGTTAAAAACAGACAGAAAAAAAAAAAAAAAGAAGAAGAGAAAGAAAAAAAATAGTCTGTAATTTACTATACAGAATGCATATTTTGAGACAGATAGTGAATCTTGAGCATGCTTAATCCTTCCCAGTGCCTTCTGCGCCTTGACCGTGTGAATGCTTTCCCAGCAGGAAAACTTAGGTGTGCTCCAACAGAAATCACTCTTGGTGTGCATGACTTGTTGTGACAGTAGGTGGAGGAAATGAGACACAGAGGAGCAGGGCGAGCGCCCACTGCTGTGTTCTCCATGTTCTAGTTGCTAATGCCTGGGCAGTGAGGAAAATGAAAATAAACCATGAAAAAAATGTGTCAGGGGGCAATGTAATAGGACATGAACTGGAGGTTTGAGATACGGATGTGGAAGGTGATGAGTTTATCTRTACCATTACAGAGAAATACTAACACAGTCATAGTGCTGGAGATTTTCAGTCTCTGAGATGAATTCAGAGGCCTCTTGCCCAGTAGCTAATGGAAGACAAGCGTCTGAAAATCTCAACTGTGGCTTAGTCATCACTTGGTGAGAACAAACTGCAGACAGCAAGCTATATAAGCCATTATCTGGACTCACATGGAAAACAGAATGAGAAATGCTATGAATGTTGGCCACCCAAAACTTCACACCTGTAAACCTTGCTCACTGCCAGGTAACCCACCAGCAAAAGAGAAACGCCGCTACCCCCAGTTGTCCTGAGGCTTCGCAAGACCCTRTGCAGCCGTTCTGACCTTCTCTCCAGTAGAGGGCAGTGATGCACAAAATCTAACTACATTTTCAACTTATAATTTTGTAGCACGGTAAATAGCAGCATATGGAAGAAGATCACTTAGGTATGCATATAGTTTAATTATGTAGTAAGGACAGTCTGCATTAAGACTCTCTCTCACCATCAGTGAACGCAATGAAAACTTCCTCCAGGAAGAAGATCAGTGCCTCAGTATAGTACATAATATGGACATTTACATTTGGTGTGAAACGAGGTACAGATGGTTGAAGATCCTAATACTGCACCAGCTCACCTATCTGAGCTGTTTAARATCCCTCTTTCCTTTCCAGATGCCATGTTTTTTTTCAATCTGAAAACTGTCTATCTTTCTTCTAGATCTTGCTTTCTCTATTTATTGCTTGTTCACCTATATTTTTTATTATCTGTACCTAAACTCTATATTTTGCAGCCTATGCTGTTTTATTTCTRTGTGTCATCTTTCATAGTGCCTATGAAGCACTTTTACCATTATCTTGTAAATCTTCTCATCAAGCTGCATGTCTTTCAAGACATCTGTGAGGACCAGGACTAGTAGTACACAAAAGCACTGTGTACTGTTAAAATTACAAGAATAAGCAGTCCACTCAGCCTACATCATTATGTAGTAAGGGTTTGAATTTCAACATATAGAAACATGTAGATTCCTCTAGACCACTTCAGGAGTGAGTGTATACCAGGACATTCTTTCCCTTGTCTCAGACATGCAAACAACAAGCTAGAAAATTCAATATGTGACTTAGATTCAGAAGGGTGAGTAAAATAAAAAGGAAGAAAAAACCATGCTGGGTCTCATTTTGAAGTGTAATGAAAAAAAAAAAAAAAAAAACCTACTCAAAAAAAAAAAAAAAAAAAAAAAAAAAAAAAAAAAGTCTACTCTTTCTACTCTTTTACTCAATCTTCAAAAAGAAAAAAAATCTTTCTTGGAAGTTTGTATTCAGCTGCAACATATATTAGGTGTTTTCATTACTATCTGCTTCTACTGAAGGTCTCAAATATAGTGAACCTTTTTGGTATAAGTATTTTTGTAGGACTATCACACACAACATGCCTAAATCTGCCCTATAATTTCATAGGTCTATTGAGAGCAGGCTAGATTATGCACATAATTACATAAGAGTAAATAAATTCTGCTATGAGGTCTTCACAGATCTTCATCATATTTTAAACAACAAATTATGCCAAATTTGATGCTACCATGAAAATACAGTTCATGATGACAGGTCAAATAATTCTAGCTAAGACACAAACTAATCTATTGCATATGATACTGCTGTATGTACCAACACGGAATAAAATCCTGTAGGATTTGAACTTACTTCAGTTACTTCAGATTCAGCACCTGTGCAACTCAAGATGTGCATGTCTTCGTTTATTTTGCAAAATCCTCAAAGATGTAACTTTTGAGTTTTATTTTTTATTTTTTTTCTGATGTTTTCATACTTACTTGATTTATGCAACTTAAGTAACAATACATACAAAAATTTTTGATTATATTGAAGGCCGTCTGACAGACTTCAAAATATTTTAGTGTGAACAGCTAAAACCTACCAAATTAACAACTAAACCAAAAGCAGTGGTAACACCATATGCAACATACCTGTTCAAAACTTTTTTGTCATCCTTGTCATTTAAGTCTTAAAATAACCCCTTTCCTACTACTAAGATGAGTRTGTGCTGCATGTTTTGTACATAAAGTATCAAGGTCAGTGCATTTCCCACAGACTTTTTCTGGTTTGGGGCTTGAAGAATTCCTTGGTTGAAACTTACTGGCATGACCAAGTAGTAGAATTATAAGAAAGTCTGTAAAAATAATTTGCCCGTTCTATGAATCACATGTCAAATGAGCAGTTGTATGTATATATGAGATATATATATATATGAATACTTGCAATCTAGCTAATATTTTATTTGAACATATTATCATCATTCAAGTACTTTGTTGGAGCTCCTACGCAGTAGTTCAACTCCGCCTGTACCYGACTGGCCGCACCAGTAGCTGAGTGTCTGCAGGTGACCTGCTCAGCCTTTCACCACACTTCCACTTTCAATACAGGCAAACACAAATTCTGCGCGTGTTGTGTATGTGTGTGGATGTATTCCACAGTTCCCACTTCCAGTCGCGACCACGAAGTGCAGAGCCACACAGCCGAGGGCAGCTCGGCAGGGAGCTCTCACAAATATTCAGCTGCAAACTTCCCGCCGTCACCCTCAGCATCCACAGTGCTCCTACTGCTCACGCCTACCAAAAGGAGATGTGTGTGTTTTTTCCTATTATTTTTATTTTATTCATCATGACGCTACGTGCGTTGGGGGTCGCGGGGGCTCCGCTCCGTCCCGCCGCGGCCGTTGGCCACGGCCGTTAGGGCGCCACGAGCCCCTCCCGCCCCCCGGCCGTGCTAACGGTTCTTCCCTGCCGTCATGGCGGGCCTGCCTCGCCCGGCCCTCTCTGCGGCCTCCTCCGCCGGGGGGGGGCCCTTCCCGCGGGTGGCGTTTAGGGGCAAACGATGGAAAAATAAAACGTGTTTTCATTTTTTATGTAGCGGCCCGTGCTGGCCCTGCCTCGCCTGCCCCGCAGCGGCGGGAGGCAGCGAGCTGCCCGCGCTCAGCGCCGCGGGGCAGGGCGGAGGCTCTGCCGAAGGCGCCTCCTTGGGGCCGGGAGGCGCAGGGCGGCGCGGCCGGAGCTGCCGGCCCGGCGGCCGCGGGGCAGCGCGGCTGGCGGGGCCCCGCGCCGCGCCGCGGGCACAGAGCTGCGCTCGGGTGGTTGGGCTGAGGAGCGCCGGGCTCCTCCTCCCCACAGCATTAGCGTGCACGCCCGGCTCTGTGACTGACTCGTCTCCCCGCGGCTCCGCTTTTATTTATTTTTTTTTTTTTCCCATTTTTCCCCCCCTTTCCGTGGGTACACACAGCGAGGAACGCACATGACAGCACTTCGCCGCGAGAGCCGGCGCATCGCTAGGAGGGCTGCGCTTCCACTCGGGGCTCGCACACGCACACACGCACACGCTGCTGCTGCTGCTGGAAGTCTCTCTGCACGGGGATTAGCAGCCGCCTCTTGCTCTTCCCGTCTCTCTCCCTTCTCCTTTTCCCTCTCCTTCTCCCCCGCTTCCTCCGGCGCTTCGCTGACGGACGGCGGCCGTGATAAGGTAAATGCGGGCTGCGCTGCTTGCTCGCGGGGCCGGGGCTGCCGCGGCCGCGGAGGCTCCGCTGCCCGCTGAGCCCCTTCCCCGCCGCTCGCGCTCCGGTGCCGCCGCCGCGGGAAGGCTCGGCGGGCCGAGGGCTGCTCTGAGCGGCCGCTCGGGCAGGGACCCGTGCGTGGCTACGCGGGGCGAGGGCAGGAGCAGCGCTCCCTCCGCGCATCACCCGAGTGATTTCACGCTGCCGCCGCGGCGCTCGTCGCCCCGCTGCTCGCCGCGGCCGTGCGGGCTCCCTCGCGCTGCCCGGGCCGCCGCTTGCCCCGCGCCCGCGCTCGGCCGCCTTTGCAGCCCGCTGCCCTTGTGCCGGCTGCGGGCTCCTCGTGCTGCACCGGGCGCCTCCGTGGCGGGGCTCTTATGTAACGAGGCTGCTGCGGCCCCGGGGGCGCGGAGGGAAGGGTGGCAGCGAGCCCGCTATCCAGGTGCGGCGCTGAGGGGACTTCTGTTTTTGGATCGTAGTGAAAAGTCACCGAGTAATTAATATTTATCCGGAAGCACCTCGGTTTCACACGTGGTTAGCCCCGCTTCATTCGCGGTGCTCTCCACCCTTAGCGGAGTGCCTGTGTCTAGGACCAACGTGTGCGCAGGAAGGAAAAAAAAAAACCCTGTTACTACTTTAGTAGTAATAGAAGTCCAAAACGGTGAGGGACGTATCTGACACCGTGTGAGTTGGGTCCCCTTGTGGCCCACCTGCAAATGGAGTTTGAAAGTGGTGCTTGCAGGGAGGGAGCGCGCTCGGGCGCCGGGCTGGGCTGCCTGTCGCCCACCTTTAAAGCGGCAACAGCCCTCGCGGGGCGCGTGGGGCAGCGCGGGCGCCCACGSGCTGCCCCCGCGCCTCGGAGACGGGCCGGGCGCAGCCGCTGCTSGGAGTTCACAACGGGAATCATTTAAGGCAAATGAGGAGATTCCAGCATCAGCAACGTAACASTCCCTTCTTCCGTATAGTTTGCTTGTCTGGGTGGTACTGTGTGTTTCCTCTCCTATTAGGTATTAGGTATTGGAAGTTAATGAACGTGTAACATCAAAATGTGCCGATTTTTAGAGAGGTAATTTGACAGTTTCAAACTAAAGGTGTAACAGTGTTTTTTTAATATATATATCTTCCTGAATTCAATTTATGTTTCTTTTCTTTTCTTTTTCTCATCAGAGCTATATATATAAAGTTATTAATACAGGACTCTTTCTGGTTTTTGTTTGTTTGTATGTTTGTTTTATGAGACAAACACTTATAAGTATGTGTGTRTATATRTATAATCTGTTTGGGTCAATGTTCTTGTTGAAAAGGAGGTGAATCTCAGTGCAGCCGGAGATAGCGATGTTGCCACCTAGAAATACAGAAAGAATGGCATGGATACTTGGTAAAATAATGTATTAAAGTCAATCCTGTAGCAAAGAGTGTTAAAAAGTATCCTACAGGCAGTATTGCCCTGTAATTTTTCACACAGGTTTCATACTATCCGGTAACTCT